ACGGTGACCTTCCTATATGCTCCAGGGTAAGAAAAATTAAGTTCACAGACCTGTTTCATGAAAGCCACAAATAAGCCAAGTAACACAGAATCAAAATATTTTCTTCCTGAGAGACAATTAATACTTGTATATTAGTTAAATACATTATTAGAAGGGATGGGTCCCATTTTCTTTTCTTAACACCTTAAGTAACTTGTATATCTATTTTGAGACTAACCTCATCAGCAAAACATGAATCTTCTTCATTAATGCCTCCTAGATCTGGAATACCATCATCAGATATCCAAAGCACCTGTAAACTCAATATTCAATATTCTAAGGATGGGGAAAAGTTTCAAAGAACAAAGCAAGCAGTTCAAAGACACGCATTATATAACCAGAATAGCATGCATTAGATAATCAGTAGACTACAAAAACTAACTAGCACTCTTTCAAGAGGGAATATATATTAAACTATAACACACTCAAACTTGCACATGGAGACCCACATCCTGCACCTTAGTAAAAAAGAAAAAAATAAAAGTGGAAAGTGGAATTGGACATTTGAATCCAGAACCTCCGGCAAACCAAAGGTTTGATAGTAAGTTACGATGGCACAAGATTAATTGCTTGAGAATAAATCAATAATTTATATCAAATTATCAAGCTAACGTTGAAGGGCTTCAGTCTTATTGCTACAAAAGCAAGTAGTACATCTGAAAGCTTAAAGATAATGTATAAGATATTGGGTCAAAGAAATACCTGTTGTTGATCACGTAGTGCTCTTGAAAAGAAGATATCTGCTGTATGTATAAGCCAGTCCAGTTCGAAATTTCCCAATGGAACCTGCCCCAGCAAATTTGAGAAATTTATTTATCCACTATAAACAAAGAAGTTAAGAGAATTTTTGTACGGAGTATAGTTATTACATGAGCATATCTTGAGAGTGAAATTCTCTCATTCAACCACTGAGGTGATGCAGCACAGCGCTGCATTCCAATTTTTGCAGCCACTTGCTGCCACCCAAGAACCTATATGAAGCAATAAAATCCTTTCAGTCTGATGCATATAAAAAATGCACTTGAAGAGTGAATCTCTGTTAGATCGAAATAAATTACCTGGTAAAGACTATCACGAGCATTAGAGGGAATGCTCACACAAGGAAAATCATCAAGAGCTCCTATACCTGACTTCATCAATTGAAAATTTGGGCATTCGATAACAGCAATTGTAGGTCCAGAATGTTCATGTCTGCCAGATATCAAAACCACACAAGGATTTAACCAAGCTTCTATACAACATTCCAGTATAAACTGCAAGAAAACTGGTAACCTACCCAATCGAATGGCATATCAATAAAGCTCCAAGTAGAAATCATAAAATGTAACGTTTAAATAGTCAGTGAAAGATAATTAACATTTGCTTCCAACAGTGAGAAACTAATATTCATCCTCTGACCAAGGAGCACTAGCTTACCTGCAACTTAAATTGTAGTTCACAAGTGTCTTATAAAACATGTTTACATACACCCACATATATTAGTAAATTAGCAAGATTGTAATTGTAATTGAGAAATATTATTATCCATTCACTTTGAGCCCAATCAGAGCTTCTCTCAAACATATAGATGCCTGGAAACCTATCCTTATGGTCAGGCAGAAACTCTGATAGAATGCTATTATCATGGAAAGCAAACAAGATTTCTCCCTTGAGATAACCTCCTTGCAACAATGAAAACTCATATGGAGTCAAACCTGTACTCATTAATTGCACGGTGCAAAATTGTTTCAGCATCCTTGACGAATCCAACATAGTCCACCTAAAATTAGCTCACAAGATATAGAGAACGAATATAAGAACCACTGAAAGTTAAAAATAAATAATAATAAAAAACCAGGAAATCTTCACCTGAAGAAATCGATATGTTTACCTTTATAACGATACCATTCCTAGGAGGTGGCTGAATTGATAATGCTTGGCATGCATCACGGAATAGTTTTTCCAGAAAAGATGGTGACAAATCTTTATTTTGATAAGGATTTACCACCACAACCGTTATTGTTGCCGATGCAGGAAAATAGGCAATATATATAGCTCGCCCTTCAGATGTGCTGACATTAATAAAATTTAACATTAATTGCTATATATTTCTCTGAAGAAGATGAAAGCACAGAACAGATATGGATTTGGAAGAGCAGACAAATTATGATCAAAATGCATCAAGTCTGATTAGAAAAGAATGAAAATGGTCAACAAAGAAGATAACAAAGCAAGTTGCTCATGATATGAGAAAACAAAATCAAAGGAAGCCGGAGTGCGACATTAAATAAAGGACTTCTGTAGTCTGTGACTAAGAGACATTGACTTCTAATACTAGAAATTAACCCTCTATAATACATGGGATGTCAACTATTTATCCCCCTTTGAAAGCAGTAAAAGAACTAAACAAAAATCCTATTACTAACATTTTCTTCAATGTATTTCTGTAAAAAAAATCCTAATCCACAGAAGAATTGGCTACTGTCTTGAGACCCACTGGAATTTTCCAAAACTTCCACAAGTTCTGCCTCTAATATGATAGAGCAAATTATGGTTATTAATGTGCCACTGATTCAAATATTAGATACATTTGTATGGGGAAAACCTCCATGAGATGATTTTTCAGTTGCCTTCAATTGGATAAAACGCACAAAGCAATGGCTCTATATAATGATGTTGAGAATATCACGTTTAAGAATGGGAAAAACAAGAATAAACTCCGGAAATCGAAAAACAAATAACCAAGATAAATAACACCAAGAAATTATGTGGTTCAGCAATATGTGCCTACGTCCACGGGACAGCAACAACAATCTTTCACTATATCAATAATGAGTACAACCAATAATCTTGCCAAATCTCTAGAACTAGGACTTGACGAAAAACCTGAAAGAACAAGAACAAGAAATACACTATCTCTTTTCTTTTCTCTTGCACACACTTTGCCCCTTACAACATTCTCTCACTCCAATCCCTTGAGTGGTACACAAATTATTGTTTTGCTCCCTCCTCAAAACTAGTACAATAGCCCCTTTATATAGACATAATAAAGGTCTTCTTCAACAAGGATTACTAATCCTAATTGGAATCTAGTTATGAATCCTTCTCCAATTAAGAAACTAACTCCAATTGGGAAAACAACTCCAATTGAGAAAACAATTTAAACCTCTGAGACTATAATTCCTTATAGATGTAGGACAACTTATCATGGGCTGGAAAAAACCCAACAAATGACAAGTGGAATTTCTCTTTTTTGGAATTGAGAATTACAACACAATTTTAACTAGAACTGCTATATTGCAAATTTGCAAGTGGCTTGTAACTCAGTTGGTTAAGAGCATTTTCCCTCGCACCCGAAGTCCCGTGTTCGAATCTCACTCCCCATAGTTTAACGTAAAATTATACTGATTGTTTGTTAAAAAGAAAAAAAAAAGAAAAAAACTAGAACTGTTATATTTTTATAATTCAAGTCTTGAAAGACTTTTAATTCAACCTCTCACATCAGAAATAGCAAACGGTGACCTTATTTTATTGTTTTGAATTGTATAATCAATATCCCGGCCCCCTCCAACAAACAATAGAAAAGGAGGGAATGGGTGGGTGAAGCTGCCTCGTTAATGTATGGAAAGTATGTAACGGTACCATGTGAAATCAGAAGACAAAAAAAGTTGCTTACTGTGAAAATTTTCAACATGGAAACATTGCTTCACAATGTCATATAATCAAGAAACTGATTTACTGGTAACCTACAAAAACTCACCTCTGATACAAGTAAAAGAATGAGATGGACTGGTCAAGATATGAGCACTCTGTAGTTGTCTTCATGTGCAGTTCACTCACAGTCCAACCATCTTGGACGTTTCTCTTCTTAGCAGTTTTATCCACTTTGCAGACACAACCAATCTGAACGATTGCATTGAACTCCAAAGGTACCTTTGTTTCATATATTCCCTGGACAAATATTTGAATTTTAATCAAACTGAATCTATCAAGAGATATCACCATTCAGAATTACAGAAGATAAATCTTAACAAACTTAGAAGAGAGAATTTTAAAATATATAGCCTTGAGTATCATTGATCGCCAAGAAAAGAGAATTCTAATTCAGGACTACGGAGGATAAATCTTAACAAACTTAGAAGGATAAATCATCAGTGTTCAGAACTATAAAAGAGAAATCTTGACCAGGTTTGGGTTGATCGACTGAACGAAAATTGTGAAGGTGAAGTCAAGGATGAAGTAATTCATGACCAATACCAAAATTGTAAGCTTAATAAAAAGTGAGGGGGATAGTTGATATGAAAATCATGAACTGACCTCAACTTCTGGATCGCCGAGAAGAGCTGCAAGCTTTTTACTAATTGTCCTAAACCGACCCTCATCAATTGCAGCCTATTAATATTTGTAGAGGAAAAGAAAAGATATTAGACCTCAGAACAAAACAAGTAAAGAACCGCATTTTAGCAACCATAAGTACCTCGTATAGGTGGTAGATCTGCCTTCCATGAGGAAGAGCCTTTTTGACATCCTTTCCTGGAGGTATTTCTTCACATATCTTTTCAAATATCTTTTCAATAGGTGCTTTAGAATTAATGTAAAAAACTCTTGGAACAGTAACAGGAATCTTAATCATGATTCCTTCAGTAACCACCCAAGCGTAAAATTGGTCACCCTGAGAACTAGGCACTAGTTGTAATATCTGAACCACAGAAATTAAGCAGTGATTAGATAATTATTCAGGGCTTTCCAGCCAAATTGATGAATTAAATGAGAAATACCTGCCAATGACAGCGTGTTAGGGCATCTTCATGCCTCCTAAATATGAATTCACACCTATTTTTCCCTGAGTTCCTTTCTGCTTTCTACCACCACCATGCAGCTCATTATTAGCATGGTGAGCAGACCTTGCGTTATTTGATCTGTCAAGTTGGATGGCAATTTTCCTAAATGTTACTTCGTCAACACCATTAAGAAAATCTGATCTAAAGCTCAATATAAGTACAGTTCTATGAACACAAAATAACACATGATACTTTCATTGGAAGATCTGGATCAAGTTGGCAAGAGTTAGGGATGACAAGTACTATCACATCAAGGGTGATAACAGAGATGGTGAGGTTAGCGCTACCTCAAACTGAAATCAAGACAGAAATCATCGTATCTGATTGAAATGATAGTATCTGGTTCCCATGAATTTTCAACGGTTGCATTCATACCTAAATCACACATCCATCGTCTTAAATGAGGCAACCAACTGCAGTTTTTCTGAACCTCTTAGATCTTGGTAATTTATTGACTGTGCATTATTATGACTAATAAAACCACACACAAAACACAAAGAATTGTTATGGAGGGTCGGCTAACATTGCCTATGTCTCCGTTTGATCCCTGGGAGATCCAAAGCACTATGTAGAATCGCATAGATTACATGAACTTGTTGAAACCCTAGATAAATCATAAAACTCCAAAATCCTGCTGCAGATTTTTCTCTCAAAAGTTTAGATCTCAAACCCATGTATGACTAGGATAATTAAAACTAGTAGAACTAGGGTCGTACTCTTTCTTTCCTAACTCTACTCCCAAACCAACTAGAAAAACAAAAGAACATAGGTCTCGTAAAACCAATAGAAACCTTAAGCACCAATTTTATTTTTCCTTTTGGATTTCTTCTAATAAATCATAATACTGACTGGTTTTAATTAGCCAATCACAACACCAAGTCCAAGTATCTCCATAAACGATTGAATATTATCGGATTTAAGAGTTATTGAGATTATTGTGGTTATGGCTACTACTGAATTCACAAGTTATTGCATAGCATGTACAACGAAACAGGTCCGACTTGGTTTTCATTGGTGAGCCTCCTCAGAGCCAATGGAATTCTAAGGGTCCTTTGTATGACAAGTATTCCCTATAACAGCCCATAGAGACTGACAAACAGGATTGAACATTATGAGATCCAACAGATAATGATAAATGTGAGATCCTAAGTAAAGTAGCGATCAACATCCTAGGCATAATTTCGAGCCTCAATGAAATCATAGGATGCATTCATATATGTACATAGCATCACGGCTTGCACCTGAAATAAGATACTTGACTTTACCTTTCTACTGTTAATAAGATATGGATCTCATTCCAGGGAGGTATTAAGAAAATTTCTAGAAGTTCGTGAACCCTTAGCAGATGGCAATTTGCACTTACAATCTCCCTAGGCTTTATACATATGTAATATATAGGACAGTAAAGACAAGAAAGTACCTTTGCTTCTTCCTCCTGTCAAGAGTATCTTTCCATTTTCTCTTCTTCATTTCAAGCCAACCATTATAATCAACATTTCTATCAATGCATTCTAAAGGGACACCATTTTGCTCTTGACACTCATTTTCTTTATTATTAGTTTGTTGTTGCTGTGAATTTATTTGGCAAGTTGTCTCGACTGAATATTTCTTGCTATTGACTTCATAACATCGAACAATTGGTCTGGGTCCACTTATGGAACTGCTTGTTTTGTTGAAGTCTTCCAAATCATCCACAATCTCTTGGTCAATCACATGATTAGAGTCAATAGCATCACTGCTCTTTTCTAGCAAATGATCCCTGTTCAATGACTTGAAGATATCAACCAACTTGCGCTGGCGAAATTTGTCGTCCTTCTCACGAACCTTCTTATGCAGCCAATCAGGATGAGCTACCCTAGGAACAGGATTTGCAACCTGAAGAAAATTCAATTGATTCAAGTACAGCTACCAGAGGGAGAGAGAGAGGGAGAGAGAGAAGTTCACAAGCAATACCTTTTGCATTGCAGCCGGAATGGTGACAATTTTCTGAATTGCTGAACCAAGGCGTTGCTTGTAATAGGACCAGTCAATAATGGAACGAATGCCAACATCTGATGAAACCTTGCACCACTTCCTTACATAAAACTTCATAATTTCTGATAAGTTGAAATACAATATCTCTTTAGAATATTAGCAAGAAAATGCAATAACAGAAATAACAGCAGAAGTTTACCAGCATCTGTTTCAAATATTGCAACTGGAACAGCACGCTCACTAACAGGTGTGCCCTACTCAAGTTAACATCACAACAAACTTTTAGATTCGCATGACCAAGAGTTGAAAAGAGATTCAAAAACCAGTATAATAGTAATACCATTTTCTTTCTCCAAGTCATTAGAGAGAGATATCTACAATGGGAAAGAGAACCATACAAGCACGGGGAAAACCAAATTGCAAAAAGAGTAAAAAAATTTAATGTTGCAAGAAAGCAAGTCCAAATTAATAAGTCCACAGAACCCTTGATTGAAAAAAAGAATAAAATTACAATCAACTCCTAAAATGCTCTCTCCATCTCAATCCCTCAAGCTCCGGCTTCTCTTGTTTATATATTTGGGTAGTTGAATTTGCTAAAATTACTGTTTCAGGTCGCTAATGTGCCACTCGTTACCCAATTTGGAGGTCAGCAAATTGGGTTATTCAACAAGATATAATTAATCTGTGACAATATTGAATTCCCTATCATTCATATTCCATGTGAAGGTTAAGCTCCAAGAATTCAGGTGAAGATAAGGAAGTTATGGAGACACATTATGACCCAAATGTTTTTTTTTTCTTTCTTTCTTTCTTTCTTTTTGCTTCTCCTTTTTATTTTTAGTCTTATAAGTTTATAACCATACGTGGACTTAGGGTGTACCCTTACCCACCTCCCAATGCATTACTAGCTGTTCTCTCAATTTCATAAATATCATCCAATGAAACAAGTTTCCAAGTTATGTACCTTTGGTTCACATGCAACTATATATTGGCAACGCAGTCCCTTCTCTTTGACCATCGTATCACCAAGAAAATCAGCAAGACGTCTTGCAGTGGTCACTGCGCATGACTTTTGCTCTCCATAGTCTACTAAAGACTTGCTCATGGTGCTTGACTCTGATATATAATCCAGCAACTCACTGTCTGCAATATCCTTTCCTTGATTCTGAGAGAATGGAGGATAAAAAAACATTGAACTTTAAACTACACATCTTTTTTCAATCTTGATTTAATCAAACAACTATTAGCATCCTTGAGTATTAAGTTATGAAAAAGAAAGTCCCTCAAGCATATGCTGGGGAATGTTTCGACTTTTAAACAAAGCAACTCTGATGATTAAAGACAGAACACTAAATGTTTACATACATCAAGGAGATCAAGCCAACGGTTTGCGACAGAAGCAACTGCAAAATAGCATTCCTCTAAAGTAGAACCGTGAAGGAACTTCTCAAAAAGTTCAGCCTGAAAACAAGAAAGGTATTTCACATGTTGGTAATTACAAGCCTCATGAATTTTAAAAAGCACAAATATGTAATACTAATAAGCATTAAGCAATAGGGTTGCAACGTACAAGCTATTACATAAGTTTCTACTATTGAAGAGATTAACAATCAAGGAGTCAGTTTGGCCACAATTTAGGAATTGAAATTTTAAAAGGCAGCTCTATCGGATGGCTCGGTTCAAGACTTTTTTTCTGGTTTTTAATCATCTCCTATATATTCATTTGATATTACAAGTAAAAGAGATACCTGGAAAACTTTGATGAGCTTCAGCTCACCTCTACGCTTGATCTCGAAACCTTTAAGTTCAGCAAGGGTCCCATCATCATTAAAAACAGCATATCGCTTCTTAATTAGAATGCCTTCTTCTTTAGAAGCAGGAAGAATCATTGCCTGCATGAGAGCAATAGTTTAGATTGAAATTACATGAAAAGAAAAAGTCAAAACAAAATAAAACATACTACCCTGTGTTACCTTGTATGGTCCATCCACTTCAAATTCAATTGAACACTCGCTATGAGTTGTGTAAGTATTCTTAACAGGATCTGTAAGAGTCTGGTAAAAATGGTGGTATGGAATTGGAAGGAATGTTATAGTTGAACAAACATGAGAAACCAAATTGCACTATTCTAAGCATTTTGGTTCGCAACACAGTGAAAAGAATCAACATAAAAAATGTTCCAAGCTGACCTGGTATTGGTCATTTGTATTGTTTCTTGCCACATCAACGTTAAGCATTACACAAGGATATGAGATAGTCAGCTTCTTCATGTCTCTGAATATGAATTTCCCATGTTAGTGAGCACCTTTGGAGGAATAATATAAACACTTACCCACTAGAAGGGAAACTAGCATCACAAATTAAATGACCACAGAACACCTAGATTATTTTTGTTTGAGTATAATCAATGGTTATACAGATACCAAAGCTGGATTACCTTATGGTATCCATATAACCAAGTGAACTAAGAAGAGAAAAATCATACTTTGTTTTGAATGTAAAGTTCTCCGGAAAAGATCCAGGGAGTGCACACCAGATACCATCTGTGTCTAACTCGAGAGGTTTTCCAATTTTCTCAACCAGCAAGCGAGCATTCTGAATAATTTTGGCTCCGGTATATGTAACTACTCCAGCCATTTCCATGGAATACCATCTTGCACCCCTGAATTAACGTACAAAAGCATCAACAAATGATAACTAGAAGAGAAAACCAAGTAAAAACAAATATTGTTGTGATTTGGCTCGTCAAAATACAAAAGGCCAAACAGGTGTAGGTTTCCAATTGGTGTTGGGAAAGGAGAAAAAGGAATGTGCACAGGTTTTTCCCATAAGAGTTGGCAAATAAGTTTTCTCCAGAAATCCCAATCAGTTAAGGATTAGGAAATAGGTTAGTTTTCCCTTTCTAAAAGGATTTAGGAATCCTATACTTGTAAGGCATGTAACCATCGGTCTATATACTATATATAGGCTTGTTGGGGGCTGTTTATTCACATGAACAGCAGAGTGAATACAAGGGCAGACAATCAAGAGTGAAAGAGAGATCTAAAGCAAGGTTTTGGGGTTTAGCATAAGGGGTTTTCAATAAATATTTGTAACCAAGTTGTTATTCTCCTTTGTGCAGGTGATTTCTCAAGAGAGATCACATGAGGAATAAGCAAAATTCGCTTAACCTTGCTAAATTATTTGTGTTTGTGTGTGCAGTGTTTACTTTATTGTTCATATATTAGTGAAGCATCATCTTATTTGTTTGCATAATACCGGAGACTATCAAATGTCCTAAAAGAATACAAAACAGAGAAAAGATATTCAACTCACTTGCGCATGACATATCCATAAAAGGAATTAAGTATACATTTATGTGCAAGTTGTAATGAATCATAAAGCACTACCATATCCTGCAAACAATTTAAAGCCAATAGAAACATGAGACCAGGTTCTATTTAATAAGCTTTATTGTAAGTAAAATTCAAAAACAGAAAAGGAAAGAAGGGGAGAGAGAGAGAGAGAGAGATAGGTTTAAAAATTTCATACTTGTGCTTCCTGGATTTTTATAGAATTTCCACTAGCCTTGGCTTCAGACAACTTCCCCTTCCAAACCTTATTAAGCCCTTTGTACTCATACCTTCTATCTCGAAAGCTTGAAGCAGATTAAAAGAACACAAAATTCAGCACAAATGAGAGAAAAAGAAATTTTAAAATCAATTATGTTCCAAAATTTGATTAGTAGATTCGATATATTTCCGAAGGAGTTTTCTTCTTATTTAGTTTTTAAAGTAGAAAAATGGCTGCTCTTTATAAGATGCACATGGAAAAATTTATAATATAACAAAATCAAGCTGCTCACCTACGAACTGTATCAACATAAAATGAATTTTCCCTCATGCATATCCCTGCTTCTCGAACTTCAGTGACTGGCTTGTCCACTACTCGTCTATACGCCTATCCAAAATTAGGACTGTTAGGTATTACTTGATAAAATATTTTGAAGAGTAAAGAATATACCTTCTGACAGTATTTTTTAAGACGCTCTTTGAGCCTTGACTGTTGTTCCATTTTAGGCAACTCAAGAAAAGATTTTGACAGCTTGGAATTGCCACCGTCAACAAACTCAGACTCAATTTGCTTCTTCAAATGATAATAGTCACTGGAATTTTTCAAATCATATTCATACACAATAATTAGTAACTCAGTTGATAACCCAAAAGTATAGACAAGGAGAGGAGAAAAAAAAGGAACATATTCGAAGAACACACCTTTTCCTTGCCATGAATATCTCCACGCCAAACCCATTCAAGCTTGCGAAGACATGTTTTGCCTGGACGGTTGAAATCACAAGCAGTGCAAATCTCGTCTGTAACTATTGATGATGGCTGGAAATAAACAACTGTCATTACGATGTAACATTTATGGAATCTTCAAACACGCAAACAGAACACCTACAGCAACAATCTGACAATGCAAATGGGAAAGAGTACAATCTTGATGACAATATTGGTGATGGAAGTTTCTATAAAAAGTTCATATGTTAACATCATTCCCATAGAAATTAGATAACCAGATATGAACAACATAAATCAATGACCCCTTTTAGTGGACTCTTTGCTACAAACGAAAAGGGCATACAGCAGTTATAAACTGAAAAAGATAGATGAAATGAGTGAATCATATAAAATTGAGATCAGAAATTGCTGAAAGTAATTTATTAACCAGCACACCTGAAGTCTGTTTGTCAAAATAATGTTGGGATACATTGCAGCAACATCCAGATGATAAATAAGGGGGCACTCTTCACGTATAGGTTCATCTCGCAACCCCATAAGCTACAAATTAGTAAAAGGAAGTCACTAATGAGAAAATGTTGAAAAGAATATTACCACCCTAAGCATATTTCAATGAACATTCAGTCTTGAAAACTAGCGACTAAGTAGAAAAGGATTCAAATTCAGCACAGTAGAAAGTTAGGGTTGTTCAATAACCAATCCAACTGTTTCAATGAATTTTGCATAGGATGACGGATATCCCTGTGAAATCCAACTTAATCCAATATAGTCTGCTACATGCTTCTTTGGTCTTATAGGTTTTTGAAACTAAGAAATGACGACAGATGTGATGGAATTAATTTGGGTATTTGCAAATGTATTTTTCTTGGTATTC